CATTCCTGGTGAAATAAGGAAATGATTTCACGTTGACTAACCAAAGTCAACATGGGAATCTAATAATCATCTTCTTGATCACAAGATGTACACAGCATACATGAGTAAACTGAAAAATAACAGATGAAATCAAACAGCTTTTCTAGATGCGAGCACATGACAAGCCAAGTTGTGTCCTGCTAACTAGTAACTGCTTTGTGTATCTGTCCCGTAGTTCTGGTGTACAATAAAGTCACCTTTCTCCTTACCTTGCTCAGATGAGCCTTCCATGGAAGCCATTAGAGCAGAGACGGGAACTCCTGGGTGTTTAATCGAGAGTTACTTTCAGTGGAATAGCATGTACAGCATTCTAAGAACACTACCATATTTGAGTTAATTTTGGTGAAAAGAATGTACTTTCTTCACAAATTTTGAAGAAAAATCAATTGTGGAACTGATTTTTTGAAGATTGCTTTATTTGAAAAAAAAAAAAAAGAGGATAAAAACAACCAATTTAAGTTGGTTATTTTTTTCACTGTAGTGAGAGATGTATAGCATTCAACTCTGGTCCCTTCAAAATTAAGAAAAGGACCCATAAAAAATTATTTAATATTGAAAACATTTTTAATTACACGTTTTCATTTCAGATTATGGTCAGTTGATTTACAAGGGAAGGGAGAAATGAAACAAGAAGAAAAGTAGAAAAGGCTGAGAAACAAAAGCAGAGGATGGGTACAAGCGAAAGCAAGGGGGATTAGAAAAACCAAGAGGGTTAGAAGAGAGGATGATTTGGGCCGGCCCGGTGGTACACTGGAGAGTGCGCCGCTTGTGAGCGTGGCGGCGCTCCCGCCGAGGGTTTGGATCCCATGTGGAGACCGGTTCCCGCTCACTGGCTGAGCGCGGTGTGGGCGCAACACCTGAGGGTTGCGATCCCGTTGCCGGTCCCCGGTGCGGGCGTGACACCGAGGGTTGCGATCCCGTTGCTGGTCCCCAGTGTGGGCGTGACACCGAGGGTTGCAATCCTGTTACCAGTCAGTAAAAAAGGAAAAAAAAAAAAAAGAAGAGAGGATGATTTATAGGGACTAAGAGAGAAGACAACAGGACTGTGTAGCTTTCTACCCAGCACTTACACACAGCTTGTCATTGTTTCTGTCATCCTTTGATGGAAATCCTACTGTCCACCTATGGGCTATAAATTCCATGGGCACAAGACTTGTGCTGGGTTTTGCTCTCTGTTGTTTTCCCTGTGCCTAGCACAGACACAGGAAACACAAGTAAGAATTATTAAGTGAACGGGCAGACAAAGAACAAATGAAGAAAGAGAGCATAGGGAAAGAGAGTCCCGTGGCCCAAATGGCTCCGGTCATGGTCCACTGAGAGTTACCATTGTTTCCTGAAAAGCAAGAGCCTTGGACTTGACTGACCCTGGCCGCTGGGGTGCCTGCAAAGCAATTCTTTGGAGGCAGTTTCACAAACTTTCACCTGTGCTCTCTTTGGCAGAGTAAGTCTGCTGAATATTAGAGCAACATTTTGCCTCTGTTTCTTTTGGAAACTTTCCGAAAGTTGATGTTTTCACCATTCCTCATGTTGGATATCACCGTGTCACCTGGTACCTTCTCCCCCAAGCCCCGTCACCTGATGCCCCCAAATTCTTCTGCTCCAGCACCATTCTGGAATATATATATATATAGACTAGCTCTCCTCTCCCAGAATGCTGCCCTCTTGATTCCCCCAAGGGGAGCCCTGTCTTAGTCCATTTTATGCTGCTCTAACAGAAAATACCTGAGACTGGGTAATTAATAATGAACAGAAATGTATTGGCTCATGGTCCTGGAAGCTGGACAATCCAAGATCAAGGTGCCAGCATCTTGCAAGGGCCTTCTTGCTGCATCATCATATGATCACATGGCAAAGGCAAGAAGGTGAGAAAGGGCAAGAGGGGGCTGAACTTGCCCTTTTACATGGCACCAATCCTACCCGTGGAGGTGAAGCCCTCATGGCCTAATCATGTCTTATAGTTACCACCTCTTAATACTCTTACAATGCCAATGAAATTTCAGCATGAGTTTTGGAGGGGACAAAATACAAACCATAGCAAGCCCCTCTTCTTTTAGCCCTCCAGTGGCAGCTATTTTCCCAGTCCCTCTATATTATGGGTCCCAGAAGAGGGTCGGCAAACTCTGGGCTCCCGTCACTAAGAAATCATCACACCTTCAATCTTTCATAGAAATGCATTTTTTCTAGTCCTTTCCTTCATTGTCCCCCAATACCTCCTGTTCACTCTTGTACATTCTTCACAGATTTTGGCCCCTGGCCACCTCACAGCCATTCTTCACAGCCCCTCATCCAACTACTGATCTCCTTTGGGGTGACTCAGGAGCTTTCTGCACAATTCATCCAAAAGATTAGCCTTGGCAAATTCTATGATTTTTTTTATGGTAAAATATATACAGTATAACATAAAATTTACCACTTTAATCATCAAAGTGTACATTTTTGTGTCCCTAAGTACATTCACATTGTTCTGCAACCATCACCACCCTCGTTTCCAGAAATTCTTCATCTTCCCCACCTGTCCTCATTAAACACTAACTCCCCAAGGTCAGCAATATTTACTTTTGCCAGATTTAAGCCACTCTCGCCACAGAGTTTTCATTTCCTGAAGTTGTTCTCCCTTCAGAATTTTAAATTTCATTGTTCTATTTTCTGTCTGTAGTCTCCTGTCTTGTCAACAGACCTTGCTATGTACAGATCTGAGCTAATCCCCTTGCTAGCCTCAGTTTCTTCATTTGTAAAATTCAGATAATAGATAATACAGTAGACAATATAGATGCCAGGTGGGCAGTAGAAGCGAAGTTCATTGGATCACTGAAAGGATTTAAGTGCTTACAGAGCATTTAGCACAGGCCAGTTCTTCCTCTTTCCTACCGGTCCACACATTAATGTTCCTCACTCCACCCAATGCCTCGCTGACATTCGTAGCTTCTCTGCACTTTCATCTTTCTGATGCCCACGCCAGGGAGACACAGCATCCTGCACTAGTCCAGCTCTGTGCCTTATCTGCACATCCACCTGGGCTGTTGGTGAACAATGGTCTTTGCTACTGGTCTCTCACCCAGTTGGACCATCTGTCCTACACTGCAAGCGTTTAGTGGGTCCCTATTCGGTTTCCCCACAACAGCTTTTTCCCCTTTGCTCCATCTCCCTACCCCACCACTGCCCCCAATGGTAGGCATCTGAGGACTGCAAGCGTTTAGTGGGTCCCTATTCGGTTTCCCCACAACAGCTTTTTCCCCTTTGCTCCGTCTCCCTACCCCACCACTGCCCCCAATGGTAGGCATCTGAGGTGTCTGTCTCTGTAGACCACAGTTCTTACACTTTAGTGACATAGGATCATGCACCTCCCCTGAGGTTCCTACCTGGTAAGAGGTGGTGGGGTTGGAATTTGCAGTTTTAACAAGCAACCCCAGGCATTTTAATGTAGACAGTGTGCAGTCCATTCTTTGTGGAGGGCTGTCTTAAGCCACAAGTTCTTTGAGGAAAGACACAATTTTATCTGACTTTTCTCTCTAAATATCTGACAATAGATGTTGAAGAATTGATTGAATGAATGAATCTGTCACTCTGCACTTCAGAGTAAGTTACTGTTCTCCTTTGAAATGCTAATTAGCTACAGCTGTTTAAATGCAGTTCAGAACTCTTCAGTATATTCTCTCTTTAAACCTGTATCAGCCCTTTTCACTGCCATTGTGGGCAGGAAACTGTAAAGAACTTGTTATTCCCTGACTAGCAACAACAAAAATCCAACCCAAGAGCAGGTAAGACTGAGACTGCAGTCCAGAGATACACAGATTGGGCCTTTCCCCTATAATGCAGGGAAGGAGAGTGCTCTGAGAACTCTCGTTCTAGGGATCCCCCAGGCAGAGGTGGTTGTGGCCACTTCAGTGGGCTTTTCTGGAGTGGAAAGAATCTTAGCAGGAAGCTCACTGCTAGGGATGTTGGGAGAAGGTGATTAGAGAACCAGGTTGGTGGGTTGAGATAAAGACTGGCACATCCAATCAGTGGTGGAAAGCCTTCAAATGCCAGCTCTGCCATTGACATGACATGGGGAATTAAACTGTTGAAGCCTCTTGTTTCCTTATCTGTAAAATGGTGACAATATGATTTACTTTGCAAAGGTTTTTTGAGGATTGAAAAATGTAATATAAATAATGCACAGTGATTCTTTGATGTTAGGCAATCGGGCAGAGTTTTTAAGACAGCTGGGTATCTGTCTGTCCTTACCACAATGGAGGGGAAACACATATACACGCGCACACACACACACGACACCCACACCCCACACCTACACTCAGTCTGCCAAGAGAAACGGAAGTCTAACTTTGGGGAAGTCTAACTCTATAACCTCACCCTGCTGTAATTAAATGTTTCCAAAGGGAGCAGACAGAGTAGCCTAGGGCCGTGCCCTCCTGCTCCCCTCTGGCCTGAGTGGACCGCAGAGGCGGCAGAGCTGCTGGGGAGCCTCTGCTGGGGAAGTGGGAGGTAAACCAGAGTGGGTGGCTGGAACTGAAATATTTCTCTTACCACCCTCCTATTCTGTCACCCCTATGTCTTCTGTGCCAGGAGGAAGGAGAAACAGCTCATGCCTGTGTTGTACCCACACACATTTGGATCTGCTCTCCCAGCCTCCAGACCCCCCATCATTCATCAGCATTCACAGTCTGCCCGCAGGGCTCATGTGCTGTTCTAAATGCTTCTCCCAGGACCTCCCTGAGAGCCCTTAGGAAGTTTGTTCCATATTTGAGCTCTTCCCCCAGCCCATGAAAACCAATGTCCAACCCCGCTTCGTTCCCACCCTCAGCCCCTCCCCACCCCTGGCCAGAGAGAGCACCTTTGGGGCTGAGTGCTGAGAGACATTGATTTAAATGTTAATAATATGAACAGCTATGAACATTCTTTATAGGACTTCACACTCCTTTCCATACTTATTCTCTTGATCCTGCACATTTATTTGCTTTTAGGAGAAGAATTTGGACTGGTTTCCTCGGATGCGAGCCATGTCCCTGGTTAGCAATGAAGGTGACAGTGAGCAAAACGAGATTCGGAACCTTCAGGAAAAGTTGGAATCGACCATGAGTCTGGTCAAGCAGCTGTCGGGGCAGCTGGCGGAGCTCAAGGAGCAGGTCAGTGCACTCAGGGAGATGGAGGTAGCGTTGGCTGGGTGGAACAGTCACCACTTTGAGGAAGGGGAGACCTGGGGACTCCTGGGAACAGGATCGTTACCCACAGAGGACTGTAGACTCCAAAAAATACCCTTCCATTGTGCTGGAGAACCACATTTCAGCAAGCAGGTACTTCCACCTGTCCCGCCTTGCTTGCCCTTGTGTGACATCCAAAAAATACCCTTCCATTGTGCTGGAGAACCACATTTCAGCAAGCAGGTACTTCCACCTATCCCGCCTTGCTTGCCCTTGTGTGACACTTCTAAGGAAGGGGAAAGAAGGAGAAAATGCCAAAATACAAAGAGCTCTTTGCATTTTTTGATAGAAGATCATATTTTCTGCCATGATAGCAATTACTAAACTCACCATTCGTATCTGTCACTTCAATGCTATAATCAACTCCTTCATCATATAAAATTGTTAGCATTCGTAAAAATATCAGCAGTAACCCTGGAGCAATTAAAATGACTGTGCTCATGGTGACAACGATGTGAAGAGCAAGATCTCTTTTACAAGAACCATGGTGTCTGCTTCCTCGCCACGGAGAGGGCTTTTCTCTTTTTCTCTGTTTATAGAAATTCACTTAAAAAATAAATTCCCTGTTATTGATAAACATACTCTATATGATGCCGAACAGTAGGTGCTTGGGAACTATTTTATTACCCCACAACTGTTTTGGCCCCTCAGCTCTAAGAAAATCAGCTGAACACACTGTCTGTCTTTTCCCCCAGATGACAGAACAAAGGAAGAATAAACAGAGACTGGGCTTCCTCGGATCAAACACACCCCATGTGAATCATCACATGCCACCACACTGATACCATGGGGGGAAGCCGTGACTAGCCTTTCATCAGTGTCCTGCCTGATCACTGAATAAAGAACTGAGACGGAGGGGCGTGAACAGTGCCTATTGTTGAAAAGTTCAAAACAACCAAGTGCCAAGATGCTGAGTGGGTTAGCTCCCAGAACAATTTCTAACTGTGTTTTCATGGATGAGAAGGCCCAACCTCAGAGGCAGCCGCTAGAAAGCACACATCACACATTCTTAACGCAACATGAAGGAACTTGCTCGAAAGACTTAGAGAGTAGGGAGAGGCAGGGTGGAAGGGGATTTGCGGCTGAGAACTACCTTCTGCCAAATCGACTGGAGTCAGTTTTGTCTTCAGTGCTGACTACAGCCTCTGTCGGGGTTGCTTGGAATTTATTTCTTTTCATTGTGGCCTGTAGATCAGTGATTCAAAAAGTCATACCTTGGTGGCTAAATTTCACTAAGGAAAATGAACTGAAAAGATTAAAAATGAGAGAGGGGAAGAGAAAAATGTTAATGCTTTCGAGCCATAGCTGTCACAGGGCAATTTCCTCATGTATAACATGAGACACAGTGCATTTGCAGCTCTAGAAACTCAGTGCTTTGGAGCGTCTGCACCTCACAATGACAACATAACTGGAATGTGATTACTTTCTCTGGGATTGAAACAGGCTCTGTCAATGTGGAGTGCAAAAGGAAACTTTCCTATAACTTGTTAAAAACATGTTTCAAATCATATATAGGCTAAGATTTTAAAACATTTGGAGAAGAAAAAGCCAACAATTTGCCTCAGGGAAGAATTTTTTGAGAACATATGTATTCTATTAACATATATAGACATTAACAAATGAAAACACTTAAGAGGTGACAGGAAATATATAGGCTAAGATTTTAAAACATTTGGAGAAGAAAAAGCCAACAATTTGCCTCAGGGAAGAATCTTTTGAGAACATATGTATTCTATTAACATATATAGACATTAACAAATGAAAACACTTAAGAGGTGACAGGAAATAGTGAGAAACGTATGACGGTGGCATTGCCTTTTATAAACATGGAGGAAAAGCTCTGATTCATGTTTGCTGTGTTTAACTAACTTCTTAAAGAACTGAGTGTTTTTATTTATGCTGTTCCTGTAGTTAGGGGAAAACATCCAAGAAATTTATTGAATACTCAAGAAAATGCAGCATTTCAATTGCAAATTTAAAACTCTATCAGTAAGGGCTTTTCAAAATGTAGAAAGACAATAATCTCTAACCCAAATTATTTTTCATGTTAAATCATGGAATCAGAATTTGTCAAGGGAGAAAATAACCTGACATGATTAGATTATTTTTAGAGACTATACATTTGGAATATTAAAGCAAAATATGGATAATGAAAGTGTTAGGAAAACTGTGGGTGACAAGAGCGAAGGCACGTTACACTAGACTGGGAAAAGTTTGCAAGTTGACCTTCTGGCTTCTGTCCCACAAGAACAAAAAAATGCCTCCAGAGCCTTTAAACTCTCAGGTATTACCACCAGATGGAAGGTCCAGATAGGGTTTGCTATGACAAGTTTTAAAGCTTTTGGATCCTTCTAATATAGTTTAAGCTATTGGTTCTTAAAAATCCCAAATCATGGTCTGTGTAGAATATAAAGGGAAGTCTGAATCAATCTTTCTTACACACACTGTTAAAATGTAGACTTAGAACAAAGCTGTTGGAACCCAGAGCAACAAATTTTTGAACTGAATCTACTGGTACCACCCAGAACCACCCCAAAGTAAGAATTTCTCCCTCTACTGTGAAATTATTTTCCTGACCAGTAGCTGAAGAACCCTAACTCTATGATGCAAAGATACTAAGAAATTGTGATATATGTATCTGCGTGCAGTGCAGAATTTTGAAGCTATAGACATTCAATAAATGTATGAGAAATTTAGCTGTCACTCAATTACCTTTAGTTCTGTATTAAAACTTTAAACTGTATCACGTTTTTAAAATGGCTTTAACAATAAAAGTAAACAAAGCAGCCATTTTTAAAGTCCAAGATCATCATTGCTATTAACAGTATTAGGTTAAAAGTACACTTTAAGACATTTTAATCAGGCAGACTTTTGTGGATAAGGAAAAGAAGAGGAAGGTGGTGAATATTGAGCTCTTCCAATATAGGAACCTGTCTCTATTTCAGCACAAAATAAAATATTTTGATGTCCGAACTAAAGGTCAAGAGAAGAAATTAATTTGTACAGATGTTAGCAACCTGTCTTTCTGATGATGAACTGTCTAGTCTTTTCTGACACTGTGATAGTTCATTTTATAGGGAATAAGCCATTGGGTATTTAACTGCTATCTGGAAGTGACTTAAAGTCTCCAGCCATTGTGTAGTGGCAGCTCACTGTTTCACAGCATGTTTTATCCTATGGGAAGTATTCAAAACGGATTGCAACTAACAGGACACTTACTTCATCAAAATTTAAATATTTCTCAGTTGGGTTTTTTTTTGTCTTTTGTCTTTTATCTTTTTCCGTGTCCGGCAACAGATCGCAACCCTCAGTGTTGCCCCCGTACCGGACCGGGGACCGGCAACGGGATCGCAACCCTCGGTGCTGCTCCCGCGCCTCGCCCAGCCAGTGAGCGGGAACTGGTCTGTACGTGGGATCCGAACCCTCGGGCGGGAGCACCGCCGCGCTTCCCAAGTGGCGCACTTATCCAGTGCGCCACCAGGCCGGCCCCCTCAGTTGGGTTTTTAATACCACTTTCTTTCCTGCCTAAATGCTTAGAGATTATAAAGCAAAATAAACAACCACTTTCTTTCCTGCCTAAATGCTTAGAGATTATAAAGCAAAATAAACAGTGTTGCCCCCGTACCGGACCGGGGACCGGCAACGGGATCGCAACCCTCGGTGCTGCTCCCGCGCCTCGCCCAGCCAGTGAGCGGGAACTGGTCTGTACGTGGGATCCGAACCCTCGGGCGGGAGCACCGCCGCGCTTCCCAAGTGGCGCACTTATCCAGTGTGCCACCAGGCCGGCCCCCTCAGTTGGGCTTTTAATACCACTTTCTTTCCTGCCTAAATGCTTAGAGATTATAAAGCAAAATAAACAAACATAAGCAAGCAAAAAAGGCACTTTCCAAGACATTAAATTCATGATAGACAAGATAATGAGAAATTTGACATTTATATAATGTTTATATAAATTATATAATGTATATAATGTTTGTTAATGCAACTGGAATATTTGACCTAGGTGAGTATCAATTAACATTCTCATATTTATATAGTGATATTAAAATAAATACAATCATTTTGACTTTGAGGGTAAGGGAGATTTTTGAAAATATTTAGTTATTAAAATCCATATTGGTTTAAAAGTGTCAGTTTCTGCTGAATGTTTTTTTAATTTCAAAAGGGTTTTGGTCCCCTAAGTGCACCCTTCTGGGGCTCAAGAGTTTAATGCAAATATATTTTCTGAATTAAAATATCATTTTTAGATGAGAAAATAATATATCATATAGGACTATAATGTTAATAAATAAATTGTATACATGCAAAGATTTATCATATTTTCTACCCGTTAAAAAAGGCAACTTAGAAAAAGATTGGCCAGTTAGCTCAGTTGGTTAGAGCATGGTGCTGATTACACCAAGGTCCACAGTTTGATTCCTAGACAGGCCAGCCACCAGAAATAACAAAAAAAGAGCTTATTTTCTCATATATTGACGTTTTTCTGTTGGTAAAGAGGATGCAGTTGTTAGTAGATGGTTGATAATATCAGGAAGCTATTTCATTCAAGTCATAATTAATTGCATGCTTATTCCCGTATTCTAAGCTTACAAAATGTTTTGGCTGCTCTCTTTACTGCCATTTTATGACAAAGAGTAATGTAGTGTGGGCCACCCTCAGCCCCAGCCCCCGGACGAGAGTGAGTGGAGAGGCTGGGGAGTTGCTGAGGGAAGGTGGCTTCCAGCACGCTCTCGTTAGGGAAGAGAAGGGGTAAACGTTAGATAATAGGAAGAAAAGGGCTTACCCTTCAGGGACCCAGCAGATTGGACATAAGTAAGTAAACGTTGCACAGGCGTACTGATGTAACATACACAGACTCAAGAAACAGCCCTCACACATACAGAGAACAGTGCTTGTGGAAGAGCAACTATAAGATGGTGTATCCCTATAGCTGTCCTTAAAACTATACAGAATCACAAATCGGCATGTTCTGACCCACAGACACATTCCAGCATGCTGGGATACATGACCCGATGCCAGACAGAGGGAGCACAAACACATGCCTACAGGAGCCGGGCAGCTAACTGAAAAGCGTGAAATCGTGAGGCGTACGCCATATGCATGGAGTAGGGAGGCTGTGGTAAACGATTTTCAAAATTTGACAGTGAATTCCAGTTTTTAGAAAATGCCTGAGGCCAACTGAGGCCCTCTAGTCACTCATTTGCGGCTGTCTCTGAAATAATCATTGATAAAGCTATCTCATTTAGTAGAAGAAGACACATAATGCCAAAATTAAGCAGAGAGCTAAAATTGAGAAATGCATGTAAAATTGAGAAATCAGAAAACAGATCCAGGTACCCATCTCTGAACTGGAGTCTTTCCACAGACTTGAAAAATTTATGATATTATCATGCTAGTACTTCTCATAACACCAAGTAGATTTTTTCCCCCTGCAATAAGGGATTACTGTATTTGCCTCAGAAAACGTAATTCTAATATAATATGTCAAGGCCAGATAATTTATAAGTTAATGTTAATAAAATTGGATTTGTATAACTTTTGTGTGCTATACTTTAAGTGCTTCATTCATTTCTTGCCGTGTTTCTGAATTATATCTCTATTGGTATGAAAAGGCATCATTATTGCTATTTTGCATAGTGAGACAAGAGGGACAAAAAACTTGGTGACTCGAACCACACCGATGAGCTAATCCAGGTGGACCAATGTGCCCAGGGTTTATTGAGAGTTCTCCAGGTCCCCAATTTACCAACACCTGCTGGGATATCTACATTGTGTCTGATGCTCAGTGTGAGCTCGGTGGGCACAGGCCACTTGGTCCAGGATGTCCTGGTCCTTTACACCCACTGCTTCAAATG